GTCTCTTACTTTGGGATCCTCAAGTCAGCAGTCTGATTTTTAGGGAATTGTGCGACGGTGAAATCGGCCTTGTTCTTGACAAGTTGCAATAGTCACCAATCCTTATGCAATAGTTGTAGACAGCTATAACAAGTAATCCTTTTTCAGCATGGTAACTGTGGGCCTGCGATTGTTCCTACAATCCTCATGGGCCCATGTATGCAGAACGGATTTGGCGTGATTTTGTTGACTTCCCCTTCGTTTGTCATTTTGTTTTGGTTTGCCGAGGGTTTTACTCAAGGTTTTGTGTGAACGGTTGGGAAGCTCTGTATTTAAAGCACCTCAGGAGCCCGGATTGCAGTTTCACTCATGACGAAGGTTTCTTTTACCAGGGGGTCCAAAATTCAGGAGGGCGAGTCCATGGTTTTGGCCAGGAGTGACGTTTGTTTCCGACTGCTTTGACTCTCAGCCGATGTTTGGGACAAACACTCAATTGTTGCGCCATGGGAAAGAATCGAGGGTACCGTGATTTTCCTCATGTTGTTGCTTGGAAAGAGCACGCATTCCCCGTTGAACACTTGTTTGATTGGAGGAACCCTCTCACAAACCAGCATGATAGTGCACAGGAGCCGCCGTTTGTTAGTGGAAGGGCATTCATTTGAACAATTACTTGGAACCCGATATGCAGGCGCTTCTCAACGGGAGATCCCCGTGAGCAATGATGGACACGGGTCTCCCAACATAGAAGCGGGCAGCCTCCATAGCGGCTAATTAGTTTCTTTTTGGCGTCCCTTTGAACGTGTTACCCTTAAGGGTACCTGGCCTGGTTGCTTTTTTCGATTGTGTTTCCGGAGCGCCTGGAGTTTCTCTTCCAATTGCTTAAGACTATTTTCCCTTGTTGGTTTTAAAGTGAACCTATCACTGGACATATTTGTATTTTAGTCCAGGGGGCTTAAGCAAATGGAACAAGTACGGTTTTCTGCGGAAACCCCACAACCACCGAATCAAAGAACCAACATGTCCGCAGGACACCCTCCTCGACGTGGTGAAGAGCTTTCGGGCGGCCAAGGTGCCTGAGGGCATCAAGAGACTCGGATCAAATCATGAGAGCTCCGAAAAGGGAATCCCAAAAGGTGAGTTGGATTTGCACAAATCCCAGCATGATCCACCTTAGGGCCACCACATGATCCCCCAACAGCGGCCAGCGATGATAGACCGTCAAACATATGTGGCCATGGGTCAAAATCCAAATCGTACCCCCAGTGAGCATCAACCAATCCCCACAGAAAAATAGGTTCTAAAATGGGTGGTGAATTCACCTACCCCAAAATGGGATCCAAAACGGTTTTGACCCACTGCCAACTGGCGCAAAATGCCAGGCACCTACCCCAAAATGGGATCCAAAACGGTTTTGACCCACAGCCAGTTGGCGCACAATGCCAGGGGGTTCTTGGAAGTTCAACCAACTTAGTAAGTAATTCGCTGATAGCCAGGGTAAGAGGGAGCAATCCCAGTTCCCCAAGTTATAACCATGGTTTTAACATAATCTACTTACACACTGGTCCCTACATTTCCCTTTTTGGTGGTTGTAAACATCACCTTTTTGGCCCAAGGTGAGTAGCCCTTGGTGGGGGTGATGTTACATGACGTCTGAACATCCAGGTTGGCGGGTTGCCTTTTGAAGAAATCACAAGACGAAATGTCCCACGGCCTTCTTTTCCATTGAATCCTTGTGGGTCTCTGGGACTGTCTCTTTGGGGCGCGCGGGCGCTTCCATGACACAAGCTCAACCCCAAAGAAGGGCTCTTTTTTTACCAAGGTCTCTGGCAGTTTGGTGCTGGCAAACATTTTTCACCCAGATTTCCAGGGTCCTTTTCAACTTTTTGGAGGGTGGGTGTCCCCTCAAAATCCTGCAGCAAGAACGAGTCCGCTTCCTGATGGTAATGCCTGCCACTATCAAAGTCACCCCCTAAGTGGACACCATTCCAGCCCTTCTGGTTGATAGCTTTCTCGGGAAATAAAAAGGGCACCGAGCATTTTGAAGGACGGATTCCCATTTTGAGAAGCCTCGAACAATCAAAATGTTGACCCCACTGGGCAACGAATCCTTCAAGAAAAATGGTTTGCTTGATTTTTGTCCTTTTGGCTACCTTGTCAAATGCCAACCAACAAGGAGGTCCACCATCTGGAGGAACTACTTCCATTTGCATCATTTGCTTAATAATATTTTCCCTTGTTGGTTGTAAAGGGAATCTATCACCACTGGACAGATTTGTTTCCCGCCAGGGGGCCAAAAAGCAAATGGAAGACTACATTTTGTAGAACCTCAAGTCAAAGAGTGACCCCATGCGGCAAATCGAAGGATAGAGCTGAAGAAGGAGTTCAAGGACTTTGACGTCCAGTTTCGGGAGGAGAGGTAGGAATTCCTCGGACGGAAGCCGCCCAGTGGCTCAGAGCAGGGCCGCGATGGCTTTGCTCTTTCTCGTTTGTGCACGTTGTTTTTGTATGCTTTTGTGTGGTTTAGATGTTTGTTGTGTAAAGCAGGTGTGGTGCTGCTCGTTTATCTTGTTTGTTGTGGCGGCTCCTGTGTGTTGACCGGAGTTCCCCCCAAACTCAGGCAACAACAGAGCGCGTGTTGTTTTTCCCCATGGCCACTGGGCAAGCGAGAGGTAGTCGATCCATGGATCCGTTGTAGTCCCCTAGCAAAAGCAAGCAGATGGAGATGTGGTTGGCCGGGGGGCAAAACATCATTGATGTTGAGGAGTATGATCAGAAACTGGTATTTGCTTTCCAGCGCCTGAAGCAAGCGGAAGGCTTCAAGCTTGACTGGCCGCCCCCCCGGGTAGCTGCAATAGTTGGAATTTTCTTGCGGAAGACCCGCCACCCTTTGAACGCCTGGACGAAATATGACATGCGACCGGCCGCGCGCAGAAAAAAGAAACAAGAAACACGTCGACGCTTTTTCGGGGAAGGGGGGGGGGGGAGGTTGGGGGGGTCGGGGGTTTGGGGCACGCAGGAGTCGCTGGTGTGGCGTTTCATTTTGTTTGGCCTGGCCCAGGTGTTGGGGTCCCCACGTCCCTGAACAAGGGGGAAAACGCCGTCGTGGGTGTGTGACTAGGAGTGTTAACGAGCCTTGGGGAGTCCAGGCAGCACTCTGTCACGAAGGCTACTTCACCCAAATACGCTGCTGCCATTCCAGACAGGTACTGGTATCTGATTCGTCAACAAATGTCTTTCAGCTACGGGCCTTGTTCCTGTGATTTTTTGTCTCAAGATAAAGTAGGGGATTGGGAGGCTAACCAGAACAGAAGGTAACCATTGACCAGGTGGTTTTCCCAAGTCCTAATTGTGATCTGACTGGATTGCTCGTTCCTTCCAGAGGAAGCGACGAGGTATGGTCAAATTCCCCAGGTCTCGTCTTACTGCTCACTGTTGGCGAGTGGTGGTTTCCCCCGAGGCAACTTGAAAGCATGTTGCCTTGGAATTGGCGATATGGGTTTGCACATAGTTTTAGGTGGACACATGTGGCCTCGACAATAAATTGCTCATTCTTGGAGGGTGGACGTCGGGACCGTATTATCGGCCCTTGAGGCTCCCTTGGTCCACTCACCTTTCAAATGACTCGGGTAGCTCATTTTGACAACGAGTGAGAGGGCGCCAGGTCATCTCTCGGTTTCACGTGGCCAAGTCAAGAGGCTTAAACGATCGAGGTGCTCCATTAGCTTATGAGCACTCGGTTCCCCAGTTTCTTGACTTGAAACTTCGTGGCAAGCAATTTTTGGGTGGCAAGCAAGACCTCCCCCCAAAAAACGGCCGCCCAAGTTGACCCTTCGCCAGGCCCAGCCGACCCTCGGCCTCGGCCAATCGGGCCGCACATCGGGCCGCGGCAAATCGGGATCACGGCGTGCGATCGGGCGGCGCCGTCGCCTTGGGGGGGGCCCGGGCGCCCAAAGGCAGAAGTCCGGGGTCCAAGTTTTGACCGGAGGTTCTAAAAGTCAGTGGTTGGTTTGCTTTGGCTCCTCTGCTGCCAAGCAGAAGGGTGCACCCTGCTGCCAGTTTGAACAACACCCTGCTTTTTGGGGGTGTCCTCAAAGTCAGCAATCAATGGCTCATTCAATGTAACTTTGTCTTGGGAGGCACTAGGCTCTGAAAATTTATTGTTTGGTGCACCTCAAAGCTGGCGCCAGATAATGGGAACCCAGGATCAGGACAGGGAGGCGGTTTGTGAAGGTGTTGCAACCAACCCACCTCATTATGTTTGTGGAAGGTTGGCTTGTAGGTTGCCAGCTTCTCAAATAGATGCCCTTTGAAGTGATCAAGTGTAAGCACTGTTGGTACCACAGAAAGGGTTACCTTTCTTCAACAAACATGAAAGTGGAGAGCAGGCAAGATGGTAATCTTCCCACTCTCTCTGTCAAAATCGGGGGCCGCCCCAAAACGGGAACTCTTGGTTGAAATAGGTCGCTTTCCGAGTTGGACCCACAAAGCAGTCTTTCTTTGTTTTGCAGCGGTGTCTTGAACCAGCTCGGATCTTTTCATTGGACCCACCAAAAAGTGTCAAACGTTTTGCGCCTTTCCGAGTTGGGCCCACGAAAGATGGCTGGGGTAAACAGGAACTCCAAGGGTTCATCCATTGTTGGTGCCCCTGAATATCAGTGGGTTGCCTTGCTGAGTCAAGACATGGACGCAACGGAGAGAGAGAGAGAGAGATCCATTGGACGCCCCTCCATTGGAGCTGAGCTTTTAGCAGAGGGGCGACCCATTGACCAGGGCAACCATCTATTTTTCCCAAAGGCCACCTATGACTCCAAGGGTTAATCAGGGCTCCTTAAAGAAAATTCATTTTGCAACCATTTGAAACATGTTGCTTTTTCCACCAAACTAAAGCGAAACCACCATGTACAAGTTGCAATGTTCAGGTGTCTAGTGTAAGGATCCCTGTTAGTCCATTGGACCCCCCAGAGCTTTTTGCAGGGCGAAGGAACTCCAAGCCGCGCTGGGAACGAGGCTTACCTCTTAAAAACACAACTTTTCAACTTTTTGGGGGTAACATGAGCTATATGTCTGTAAAAGATCAACTTCCCCAGGGCTTGGAGTTTTAAGGGGTAAGGAGGGCTCCGATCTGAGACTCAGGTGGCCCTCGCGCTTCGAAGCGCGCGGCGGAAGGCGCCGGTGAGCGGGTGAGCGGGCGCGCGGGCGTGCGCCGGGGTGTTTGTTGTGGGCGTGTGGGGGGGGCAAAAGTTCACCACGGCTCCCTGAAAAGGCGTGGCCTTTTTTCATCCTTTTTTTTGGTGGGTATCCGCTTTTCTTGTGGCGTTTTCTTGTTTTTTGCGGGGGGAGGGGGGGGATGAAAATTGGGACATTGAAAGTTCGTTGCTTTTGTTTTAGGCCTGTTGAGACAAACCCATGTCTTTCCTGCTAAACTAAACATGTTCTTTGGCAAACATCATGGCCTCGCCTCTCACAAGGTCCTGTTTAGTTCGGGAGTCTGTTGCCAGCTGTGATGCAAAGGGGATGGGAAGCGAAAGGGGTCCATTTCCTTCCATTTGTTTAAGTTTTTTGTTTGCCCCTGTTGGTTTTAAAAGGAATCGATCACTACTGGAAATATTTTTTCCAGGAGGCGAAAAAGCAAATATGGAAGTTTCCCACAGCCATAGAAGGCCTGACGTTTTGCTTGCCACTTGCAGGACCTGCGCAAGTCGCGCACGGCACGGGGTGATGGCGCCTGGAGCCTAGGCAGGCCCGTGCAATGAGACTGGAAAATCACGTTTTTGGGTCCCCTCTTTGTTTTATTCACCGCGTTGATACTTTTTACTGGAGGTTGGGATTTGTTACGTATCATCAATCTCTGGGTTCAAGTCTAGCTTGCGATCAAACTGGACTCTGCCACGTCCCTAACCTGAAACAACATAGGAAGCCGTTTTCTTGCAAACAAAGAAGTAGATTGCCTTTGTTTCAACCAGCTTCCTTTGTTTCAACTAGGAAGCTTCTTCTTAAAACAGGTTCCCTTTGTTTCAACCACAGAGTTGTGGCTCCAGATTTTTGGTCCCGCGCCCCAAGAAACGCGGAAAACCCGAGGCTGGGTCCAAGGGTGACACCTTGGACGTGGTGGTGGTTGGCGCCGGCGTCTCCGGCCTCACCGCGGCACACAAGACCCGGGGAGCTGGGGAACGGCTGCGGGTCTCGGGTTTTGGGTTTTGGGGGCTGCCGGAAAATGGGGACCATAGGTGTCCTTTCTGGTTGGTTTGCTAACAAAAAAGCAGAGGGCGATTTTCGATGGTTGAGATGTGGTTGTCAGATGTGGTTGTCAATCATGGCGGTGGCTCAAAAACATGGAAAACCAAAATGGCACCTTGGTAAATGAAACCAAAGACAAAAACTTGCGTAACCCCAGCTCTTTCTTTTGGAACCACCCCCAAATAGGCACCCAAAATGGGTTGCCCTGGCAAGTGGAACCAAACCTGCGGCCCCCTCGCTTGATTTTGACCTATACGCAGTTGGGGACGGTTTTGAGGTCTGCTGGGTGGACTTCTTGGATTTAGAAGTTGCACGGGGATTTGGTCAGCTCAAGGGGCCAGCTCAAGGGGCCTCTGTCCCCATGTTGACCCCATAATCAACCCCAGTTTATCAATATGGGAGTGGGGGGCCCTCAAAAAGTGGTCAGATTCCCCACTCAACCCAGGGAGAAGCGCCCTATTAACAAACTGGGGTTGATGAATATGGGTTGACTAGTATGGCCCGTGTTCCCGCAGTGTTCCCCTCCGAAAGTGATGATTCCCCACTCAACCCCGTGTTCATAAACAGGGGTCTATTAATATGATGTCGATTTCATTCCGGTGCAATGCGTTCTTGGAGGGTATTCCGAGAGAGCTTTCCAAGGAACCGGGCAAGAAAAAGGCCCTTTGGAGTCGAGCACTTTTTGCAGGTCCAAACCAAAGGGCATTTGGAGTGAAACAAGCAAGGGACATTTCGGAAATGAATCCTGGTTCCCCTCTCAAGACGCCAGAGTTCTTCTCACCCATTTGGGTGCAGCTAACTCTTCTGTTTTTGTTGGAATACCCAACCTGCCGAGATCAGCGCCACGCATGTCCGAAATCGGCTTTCCGCGGCCGGATCCAATTTTTCAGCGGGACCCCGCCGCGCGGCGCGGCGTTGCGCGGCGCCATGGCCTTAAACTTGCCGGCGCTGCGGAAAGGGGCGGGGGGGCTCAGCGGAGAAGCGGCCATCTCAATGCGGTTGGGGGAGGGGGAGGGGACTTCGTGGCGAGGCGGGGGGCGGGGCTTAGTGCTTGTAGTTTGGAGGGGGCTCCCCCATTATCCTTAAGCAGCCCCCCGCCCAGTGTGCAAGGGTCCGTTTCAAAGGCAAGTGATTCTATACAAGTTTGTGCGCCAGTTTGTGCGACTTGAATCCAGCCTTGGGATCTTGGACCTGATCCCTTTGGCTTCTTGACCCACCATTCATAAACCACTGCTTGATGGATACGGGGGCCCCCCCAAATTAGTACCAGGTTGATTAATCCGG